CAAAGACAAAAACAGACTAAAAGTTAAAGGATGGAAAAAAATATACCAAGCTAACAGCAATAAAAAACAAGCAGGAGTGGCAATACTAATCTCTGATAAAAATAAACTTTAAGGCAAAAACCAGCATAAGAGATAAAGAAGGACACTGTCTCATGATTCAAGGGTCAATTGAGCAAGATAACATAACCATAATTAACATCTATGCTCCAAATGAAAGAGCACCAAGATACATAAAGCAAACCCTACAAGAATTGAAGAAAGAAATAGATACATCTACAATTATAGTGGGGGATTTTAATACGCCACTTTTGAAAAGGGATAGAACAGCCAGAAAGAAACTCGACAAAGCTACAGAGGAACTACACAGAACAATCAGCCAACTTGACCTCTTAGACGTATACAGAGCATTCAACCAAACAACACAATACACATTCTTTTCCAGTGCACATGGAACGTTCTCCAGAATTGACCATGTGTTAGGTCGCAAAGCAGGCCTCCATAAATTTACAAACATCAAAATACTACAAAGCATCTTTTCAGACCACAATGCCATAGAATTAGAAATCAACAATAAGAAGACCAAGGATATAAAGTTTAATACATGGAGACTGAATAACACCCTGCTGAAGAGCAACGGGATAATAGAAGAACTTAAACATGAATTCACAAAGTTCCTAGAAACAAATGACAATGGAAACACAACATATCAAAATCTTTGGGGCGCTGCAAAAGTGGTGCTGAGAAAACAATTTATTGTGATAAATATATCATTCCAAAAAGAGGAAAGAATCAAAATTAACACATTAACACAGCATCTCCAGCAACTAGAAACAGACCAACAGAGGGAACCTACAGTCATCAAGAAAAAAGAAATAATAAAGATCAGAGCAGAAACAAATGAGATAGAAAACAGGAAAACTATAGAAAGGAGCAACAGGATAAGAAGCTGGCTCTTTGAAAGGATTGATAAAATTGACAGACCGTTGGTAAACCTAAGGGAAGAGAGGGAGAAGACACAAATAACATGCATTAGAAACCTCATGGGCAATGTCACAACAGAATCAAAGGAAATCAAAAGGATAATAACAGAATACTCTGAAAAGTTGTACCCCAACAAATTTGAAAACTTAGAAGAGATGGATACATTTTTAGATAAACACGACCTACCTAAATGCACACAGAGTGAAGTAGAAAACTTGAACAGGGCCGTAACAATAGAAAAAATTGATCAGGTCATCAAAAAATTCCCAACCAAAAGAAATACAGGTCCAGATGGCTTCACTGGTGAGTTCTACCAGACATTCAGGGAAAAGCTGTCACCAATTCTACTCAAATTATTCCAAAAGATAAAGGAGTATAGAAAACTTCCTAATACATTTTATGAAGCAAGCATAATCCTCATACCAAAACCAGGGAAGGACATAATTAAGAAAGAAAATTATAGACCAATATCCTTCATGAACATAGATGCAAAAATTCTCAACAAAATCCTAGCCAACAGAATCCAGCAGCACATCAAAAAAATAATACATCATAACCAAGTGGGATTCATATCAGGGATGCAAGGATAGTTCAACATTAGAAAAAACAATCAATGTAATCCACCATATAAACAAGAAAAAAGAAAAAACAAACACATGATCGTATTGATTTATGCAGAAAAGGCATTTGACAAAATCCAACATCCATTCCTGATAAAAACACTCAACAAAGTAGGAATTGAAGGGAAATTCCTCAACATAATCAAGAGCATATATACAAAACCAACAGCCTACATTACTCTCAATGGAGAGAAACTGAAAGCCTTCCCTCTGTGAACAGGAACCAGACAAGGATGCCCTTTGTCACCACTCCTATTCAATATTGTGCTGGAAGTCTTAGCCAGAGCTATACGGAAAGACAGGGAAATTAAAGGCATCCGAATTGGCAAAGAAGAAGTAATATTCTCTCTCTTTGCAGATGATATGATCCTATATATAGAAAACCCCAAAGACCCAGTAAAAAAGCTACTAGACCTCATTGGAGGATTCAGCAAAGTGGCAGGGTATAAGATCAATATCCAAAAATAATTTGGATTCCTCAATACCAATAACAACAGTGCTGAAAAGGACATTAGGAAAGCAATACCATTTACAATAACTACCTAAAGGATGAACTATATAGGAATAAATGTAACCAAAGAAACAAAGCACCTATAAAAAGAAAACTACAGAACATTACTACAAGAAACCAAAAGAGACTCACAAAAATGGAAGAATATACCATGCTCCAGGACAGGAAGACTTAACATTTTGAAAATGTCAATACTGCCCAAGGCAATTTACACATATAATGCAATCCCAATCCAGATTCCAATGACATTCTTCAAAGAGATGGAAAAAGCAATTAGAAACTTTATATGGAAAGGAAAGAGACCCAGGATAAGCAAAGCACTGCTTAAGAAGAAGAACAAGGTGGGAAGTCTCTCACTCCCTGATTTCAGAATTTACTACGCGGCTACAGTGGTCAAAACAGCCTAGTACTGGTACGAGGAAAGATACATTGATCAATGGAACAGAATTGAGAATCCAGAAACTAACCCATCCACATACAGCCAACGGATTTTTGACAAGGTACCTAAGTATATTGCATGGGGGGAAGATGGTCTCTTCAACAGATGGTGCTGGCAGAATTGGAAAGCGATATGCCAAAGGCTGAAACAAGACCTTTACCTCATGCCTTACACATCATGGATTAAAGACCTAAATGTGAATCCCAGGATTACAAAGTCCATCAATGAAAAAATAGGGGGAAATATACAGGGGATACACAGACTACCAAACATTTTGAAACTTACACAAACAAAAACAGACAAAATAGATCAATGGTACATACCAAAAATTAAAAACTTAAGTGCATCAAATGACTTCATCAAAAGAGTAAAAAGAGAGTCCACAGAATGGGAAAAAAATCTTTTGCAACGACACATCAGACAAGGGACTAATTTACAAAATATATAGGAACCTACAACACCTCTACAAGAAAAGGACAAATAACCCAATTAAAAAATGGGCACAGAACATGAATTGACACTTCATCAAGGAAGAGATCTGGGCAGCCAACAAACATATGAAGAAGTGTTCACAATCACTAGCCATTATAAAGATGCAAATCAAAACAACAATGAGACATCATCTCTCACCAGCAATAACAACAAAGATCAAAAAGTAGAGGACAATAAATGCTGGCGAGGATGTGGAGAGACAGGGACCCTCCTACATTGCTGGTGGGATTGCAAAATGGTCCAACAACTCTGGAAAGCAATATGGCACTTCCTCAGAAAGTTGGAAATAGAAATACCTTATGATCCAGCAATTCCTCTACTTGGTATTTACTCACAAGAAATATGAACCACAATGCAAGTAGATATATGCACACCAATGTTCATCGCAGCACTATTTACAATAGCAAAAAGATGGAGACAGACCAAGTGTCCATCAATTGAAGAATAGATGAACAAACTGTGGTACACACACACAATGGAATACTATGCTACCTTGAAGAACAAGTAAGCTACAAGCCACCACATAACATGGATGAACCTTGAGGACACTATGCTGAATGAAATCAGTCAGTCACAAAAGGAGAAATAAGGCATAGGTCCATTATTGTAAAGGATTAAGAAAAAGCACCCACACTAAAAGGGGGAAAAATTTATCTTTTAAGAAAATATATATTATCTACAACTAGAATGTAGCCTTAGCCTTTTTACAATATGAAAAAAAACTATTAAAAAAGAAACTATTTTCAACTTGGAAACAAGTATCTATCCCAAATGATGACAAATTTGTAGTCTAAGTACGGGCCTTCTGGCTCCAAACATGACTTGAAAAAATGAGCTCCCAAACTCATGGAGTCTTTGTGTATTTCACTGCCTTCCCTAAGGCAGGTCCCAGATGTGCCCACCAGCCAGAGCAGCCCACTCTTAACAAGTGGCTTTGGAGGAGTTACCGGAAAGATCGTCCCGGTCACCCTATAACCAGATAGCCTCCTCCACTCTTTCTTTATTAGGCTGTGAGCTTCCCAAAGCCTGAGAAATTGTCTCACTTCTCCTCTGATGTCAAAGCTTGGCAGCAAAGACGCATGAGGATTTTTTTAAGTTCTGTCAAGTCTGTCCAATTCACAGTGACCCTGTATAGAGTTCTCAATTAGTGAATGGTGGGTTTGAACCGTCAACCTTGCAGTTAGCTTATGGTCAGCAGTTGAGTGCTTCCTCTATGGTAGCACACTAGGACTCATAGTATGCAGTTTTGGGGGTATAATGAAACAGAAATAAATTGTCATCTCTGTTTGCTTCTGAACTATAAAAGAGGCTTTGGGGACATCTTTGATCAAAATCTACTCATAGGGTTATGCCTTACATACTGCAGGTATAGTTTTACGTCAAAGGGTCCTCAAACGGAATTCAGACAACTATCTTTATTTTTACAAAGGTGAACTAGATTTTAATTTATGTTATATTAGTATTTATTTTCAAAGGTTTGCAATGCCTGAACATAGACACCTGATATAATCTAAAGCCAGTGTGGATGACCTCAGGAAGATACATTCTTTCAGCATCTTTCACTCAGGGTTATGTTTTTTATCAAAATGCCTCAGAGATAAGCAGAAACACTGTCTCCCTAGAGTACCTTCTTTCCTTAGGTCATGTTGTTGTTGTTGTTAAGTGCCATCGAGTCGGTTCCGACCCATAGCGACCCTGTACAGGGTTTCCGAGAGTGTAAACCCTTACGGGAGTAGAAAGCCTCATCTTTCTCCAGCGGAGTGACTGGTAGTTTCGAACTGCTGACCTTAAGGTTCGCAGCCCGATTCATAACCACTACGCTACCAGAGCTCCTTTCCTCAGGTCATAGCCTTCATTAATAAAATGACAGGAGCTATTACAGTGTTTCTTTGTACTGTGCATTTGAAATTCACTAGCTCAAGCTATGTAAACCTAAGACTCTGGGTGTTTCTTTTACCTTGGCCAGATGAGAGTTGATCCATTTCGTGAAAGTGCGTTTTTGAACTATCTCTTGCTCATCTAGAAGGAAAAAAAAAAAAAAAAAAGATCTGATTAGGTAAGGCAAAATACTTTGAAATTTAATCATGAAAAAATATATATTGGTTCCACAACTCTAGTAGTAATCACACAATTATTATATCATCTAATTAATTTTTCTAGCTGTTGTCTTAAAAGAAGAGTCAGTACAACCCCAAATATATTCATCAATCAGATTATTCATTTAAAATAATTAGCAAATGTTTTGAAACGTGCAATATGTGAGCCTTATGTGTATCTTCCTTGATTTATAATAAAAAGCTCATTGATCAATTATACTTCAATAAAGCTGTTTTTCAAAAGTTCACTGAAACCAACTGAGTTCCAAGTCTTGTACTAGGTGCATGGGAACACAGAAACATGAATAGGGCAAGATCTAGTGATAGAAACAGATAAGCAAGGACTTATAAGGACAGTGCAGTAAGGTACAGCTGTGGACATCCAGTACCACAGGAACTGAGCTCAGAGAACGTGGTGAACAGATTCCTAGATTGACCTCCGATAATTACATGCTTTTGTGTAATCCCATTCCCATGAGAGTGGGTGGAGCCCATGAGTTGCTTCAAGCCAACAGAAATGTAGCCAGAGTGCTCCTTAGAAGCCAGGATGGCCAAACTTCGTCTCTCATACTGTGGACATATTGTCAGGAGGGACCAGTCACTGGAGAAGGATATCATGTTTGGTAAGGTGGAATGTCAGAGAAAAAGAGGAAGACCCCCAACGAGATGGAATAGCCAAGTGGCAATATCAATGGACTCAAGCATGGCAACAGTAGTGAGGTTGGCCCAGGATCAGGCAGTGTTCGTTTCTGCTGTGCATAAGGTCTCTATGAATCGGTACCGACTTGATGACACCTAACAACAACAAACCAGGAATGTGTGTGTAATCTAATACTGCATGCAATTTATACTACATATTTAAACACATAGTTGTCATTAATATTGAATGTTATGTATAGCATGCTATTGTTTTTAAGTGCCGTCAAGTCAGTTCTGACCCAAAGTGATGCTCTATAGGGTTTCTGAGGAATGGCTGATGAGCTTGAACAACCAACCTTGCAAAGCAAACTGACTTTGCAGTACAGTGCATTAACCAGCACCACACCAGGACTCCACATATAATACAGATGCAGTAATTAATATAATTCTTGTAAAAAAACAAAAATCTAGAAACACAACTATCATCAAGTCTATTTCACAGATAAGAAGATCAAACTACACAGCAGTTACGTATTTTTCACCAAAGGTATCCAGTGGCAAAGCCAAGTTTTAGACTTCTACAATCTGGGCCTTATACCATTACACTATTGCTCTAGGGAGAACATACAAATTATTACCTTGATAATATCAAATATTATCATGTAAAAATAATAAATGCAAGATTAAATCAATAGGAGTTTGACAACAATTTTGCTGTTGTTAAGTGCTGTCAAGTCGGTTCCCACTTGTAGAGACCGTACACACCAGAATGAAACACTGCTTGAATCTGCATCAACCTCATGTTTGTTGTTACATTTGAGCTCATTGCTGCTGCCACTGTGCAAAGCCATCATGTTGAGGGTCTTCCTCTTTGTAGTTGACCTTCCACTTTACCAAGCATGATGGATGTCCTCCTCTAGGGACTGGTCTCTCCTGATAATATATCTGACCATGAGAGACAAAGTCTCACCATCCTGGCTTCCAAGGAACATCTGGATGTACTTCTTCCAACACAGATTTGTTTGTTCTACTGGCATTCCATGATACTTTTCATATTCTTCTTCAATATTATAATTCACTCATATTTACTCTTCTAAGGTCTGTCTTATTCAATGTTCAACTTTCACATGCATATGAGGCTATTGAAAATCCCATGGCTTGGGTCAGAAGCATTTTAGTCCTCAAAATTGTCATCTTTGTTTTTTAACACTTTAAAGAGTCTTATGCAGAAGATTGGCCAAATGCAACATATCCTTTGATGTCTTAATTGCTGCTTCCATGAGTGTTGATGGTTTATCTGAGCAAAATGAAGCCTTTGACAACTTCAATCTTTTCTCCAGTTGTCAAGATGTCATTTATTAGTCCAGCTGTAAGGATTTTTATTTTCTTTACATTGAGGTACAATGCATGCTGAAGGCTGTAGGTTTTGATTATTTACTAACCACACAAATTGATTATTTACTAACCACACAAAATGTGGTGAAAGGTTAAACCCTGGCACACACTTTTATTCAGTATTCCCTTGTACTGTTTTAACAACTGCCTCTTTGTCTGTGTACCAGTTTCTCCTGAGTACAGTTAAATGTTCTGGAATACCCATCCTTTGCCTTGTTATCCAAAGTTTGTCATGACCCTCACAGTTGAAAACCTTTGTATAGTTAATAAAACACAGGCAAACACCTTCTGGGATTATCTGATTTCAGCCAAGATCCATCTGACATCAGCAATGGCATCCCTTGTTCCATGTCCTCTTCTAAATGTGGCTTGAATTTCTGGCAGTTTTCTGTTGATGTACTATTGCAACCACTTATAAAATTATTTTTAGCAACATTTTATTTGCATGGGATAGTAATGATATTGTCCATTGATTTCTGCATTCTTTTTTGTTACCTCTTTTTGGAATGGGCACAAATATGGTTCTCTTCCAAACAGCTGGCTAAATTTAGGCACAAAATTACGTACCTCAAAGACCACAACCTTTGGTATGGGTTGCATCTCAATGTAAAGAAAGCAAAAATCTTTGCCACTGGACCAATAAACATCCATATAAATGGAGAAAAGATTGAAGTTGTCAAAGACTTCATTTTGCTCAGATCAACCATCAACAGTCATGGAAGCAACAGTCAAGAAATCAAATGACATACTGCATTAGGCAAATCTGCTGCACAAGACCTCTTTAAAGTGTTCAAGAGCTAAGATGTCAGTTTGAGGACTAAGGTGTGCCTGACCCGTGGTATTTTCAATAACCTCATATGAATGTGAAAGCTGGACAGTGAATAAAGAAGATTGTAGAAGAATGGATGCATTGGAGCATGGTGTTGGAGAAGAATATTAAAAGTACCATGGGCTGCCAAAAGGGCCAACAGATCTGTGTTGGAAGAAGTACAGCCAGACCAGAGAGCAGGCTTGCAGGGTGTACCCTTTGGCTGTTTGAATGAATTTGTATTCCAGAGTGTTTTGGTGCATATAAACACACACACACACCCCAAAACAAAACAAAAAACAGAGGGAATAGAAGCAAATACTGTTGAATGATGAAGCATGCAGGGGATTGTAATCATTGCAATGAAACAAATATGATAGGT